TAGAGCTGCTGGCCAGCAAAGTCCCAAATGTAAGTCATGTCCTCATTACTAGTTGATGCAGAGGCATTTCCAATCATTCTGTCAATTATTCTTTTTTGCCTTTCTGATGGCAGCTGTGCTTGACTTGGGTCACTGACTTTTCTCTGTTAATTAAGAATCATGTTAGAAAGACACAAAATGTAATTATTTTCAAATATTATAAAACATTACTAACAAGATGATTTCGAAATTCATTACCTTATTATTCTATGTATTCTTGGAAATATATCATCTAGTCTTTAGTTGAATTAAAATAATATATTTATTATTTACTTACATAATTGCTACATTTTATTGGCTAGTTGTTGGATATAACATTAAAAAATGTTAGTTTTCCAAATGTTTTAATGCCATAATCTCTTACTTACAAATTATCAAATTATACTTGTATGGTTTTTAATTTTAATAATGCAATATTAATAATTTAAATTTTATAATTTTTTCCTGATAAAAAAATGATAGTGTATTATATTTTAATGAAGTCGGTTAATAAACATATTTTAGCATTATTATACTATTGCATGAAAGCACTGCAAAAGTGTACATCCATATAATTTGCAAAGAAGTCCCCCACTATGAATAAAATAGGAAAACTATCCCCAATGATATACAATATTTGTATTTCTGAGTAAAGGTTTTGGGGCAAAAACAATTATGTTTACACTGTATTGCTCTGATGGCTCAAGAAAAAAATGAGTGTTTACATACAGTACATTGTTTTGTTCAGAATTTTAAAATAAATTAAATCAAATCAATTGTTAACCAGAGGTATATAGTGACAGAGGTGTACACAATTATTTTAACTTGAAATATATTACAAGGCAATATACAGAAGAACAACAGTGCATGCTGTGGGAAACATTGAGTCTCAGTGACGAAGGCTGAAATAATGCAAATCTACTAAAAACGTGTCATTAAATCCCACAGTTGTAATAATTTATCTGATCATCTGTTGAAGACACTCTGAACACACATACTATTACTATATTATGTCCTACCTCAACTGGAACAGGCACAGATGGCAATACAGGTGTAGAGGAGGTAACTGGTTTCCTGCGACCATCTTTTTTAGTTAACCGCTGAAATACATGTACAAAGACATTTGATTTTTTAGGGGCGTGTACAAGTGGAGGTACAGGTGTTGACTTTCCTGCTGATGCCTGTACTGGTTCAGCTGCCTCTACTTGGCTTCCTTTTTGTTTCAGTTTCTCAGCAACTTTACTTTCTAATGCATTATCAAATATACCTTTGATCCGATCACATTCTATAAAAGATAAAGAAATTCATCAAAGCTTGAGTCAAAACAAATGAGAATAGGATTTTAAAGTTAAATTGTTTCTTGTCATACCGTCCATGTCCTCTGCCTCTTTCCACACACTACTTATATCAGTAGTTTGAAAAGCAGTGGTCAACACTATTCCATCAGTCGATGGTTCTTCTTCATTAAATCTGTGGAAAGAGCAGTCTAATTACTGCTTGAATTTTTGAATTGTATATGTACATATTGTAGTATTTAAGTGCCATGA